AATCCAACATGATGCCTTCCAGAATTCTGTACAAGAAAAAGCTGTTAAAGATAGAAACTGAAAAAAAAACACAAAATAACTGACACAAAGGCAAGAAGAGATGCCTTCGAAATTAAAAATTAGCTCTACAAACAGTTAAAGCTGTTCTTTGTGAGGTAATGTCATTACCTAGTATTTAGAGAGTAAGGCTACTACTGGCTCTGCACTTACTTCTCTTTTCAACTCAAAAAAGGGAAGAGGAGGAAGAGGACAAGAAAGAGGATGGCTGTTCAAACCAAGAGGAAAAGTAAAGGGCTGGGTTGGTGGGTGGTAGGATGCTGGGTGGATAAAAAGTTTGAGGGTGAGTTGGATAAGTGCAGGAAAAGCAGAGTGATCAAGACTAGTTCTGGAGAACAATGCACCAATGTACCTTACAGTGTTGTGGACACACTATAACTTTATCCTAAAATGCTTTGAAGTCGATTGCATTTAAATACATTTTGCTCTGCACACTGATGGAGTCAGATTTACAGATTTTTTTTCTTTTATTTTTACAAAATGTGTTTATACCAAATGTTTGAAATTTTTATTTATTTATTTATTTATTTTTGTTCTGCCAAAACAGTTTGATCGGAGTCAATTGTGTTGGCCGATGTTCATCTTCACTGAGCCTTCAAAGCTTCCAGGTTGTCCCTTACAAGGTTATGTTCTATCCATCATCTGAACATGGATGAAACTACTGCAGACTGACCAAAACATGAACATCCACCTAAGCTAACCAGGAAAAGAGAAAGTATTAGTTGGTTCAGTGTTTATTTCAGTCCTCAGAGATCACTGTCCTGTATGCTTCAGATGTGTCTCTGTTCCAGAACACCTGATTCTACACTTGCATTAATTGCATGACATCCTCTGCATGTCATTAAGTACTACAGAAACCTGTTAATCACTCAGTTATTCAAGTTAGGTGTGTGGCAGAAGGGGAATACCTAGAAAATGCAGGGCAGGGGTTCCTGAGGACCAGAACTGAGAATCACTGAGTTAGAGAAGCATCCAAGAGACCCATGGTAGCTCTGGAGGAGCTGCAGAGACCAACAGCTCAGATCTATTAATAAGACGGCTATTAATAATGCCACACTTCGATGGTCGACTGTGTTATTTCGTTTGATCTACAGCCGCATGTCTTTGTGAAGAGAAATTTATTAAGTCTCAAAAAATGTTCCTATCAGTGAAGCATAAATAAAGTCAATATTTAAGCCCTCCTGCTTCTTTTAACACCTCACCATTCCCCACAGCGGGGGTGCGTCCCACTATTTGAGAAGTACTGGCCTAAACATACTTCACTGTGCTTGTCAGCTGATCAGACCTAATTTTTAAGAATGTATCTTTATTGATATTCGTTTTGGCTCAGCTGTTCAACAGCATTCCAACCATGTAGAGTTCAACCTACAGCCTCGTATGGGGTTCTAATGTCCTGGTTTGTCAACTCAAAGAAAAGGAAAAAATTTGGGATAAATGCTTAAATTAATGCTGCCAGTTATGAATAATTTTGACATTAACAGTAAATTACAGCAGATCTTTTTTTCCTAAAATCGTAGGTCATGGTAAATCTTTACTTGCAGTTTGTGTGTTTTGTACAATACTTTCAATCCCTGCAGAGTCTTGGCTGTTATGATCCATGTGTTTGAGTTTTTCTCATCTTTCCTTTGTTGTTTATCATCATTATTAAAGTCTTGGTCTATTTGGGTTTTTTTTTTTTCAAATTGCCTCCAGGGTCTTTTCAGATCAGTTTATTCGTCATGTTTAGTTTCTTAGTCATTTACTGTTTGTGTATTTTGATTTATTCTCTTACATCAGCATTAGACTATCTCTTCCTGGTTTGTAGATCCTCTAGTCTAGATCAGCTTCCTCTTCATTGTTTTACCTTCCCTCAGTCTTCCTGCTCAGTATTATCTCTGATTATTCTGACCCAGTCCCAATGTCATTCTCCAACCTTTTCTCAGTTTTTAAGCTTCTTGACTTTCTTTATTCCCCACTGGTTCCTTTCACGTCAGCCTTCCTTCTGCATCCGGTTCCCCTTGTGTCTTGCTGTAAGTTTTTGATCCATGTTAGTATTAAATTTCATCATATTACTCCCAAACTACTAAGATGCTAAGTGGTCCTGAGAATAATTTCCAGCATCAAAAAGTTTGGGTAGAAACAGTCAATACTCATGATCAATTATTAATTTGCTAAAACCCCTGAGTTCTGTAGATACTAATGTAAACAACTGAACATATGATTGCATTTTATTAATTGATTGAATATTGTTTGTGATCTGATTAATTTAAGTTTTAGTGTGTCCCCAGTCTGAGTCAGTGATATCCAGTCATGCAACTTTTCAGCCACATTCAAATTTAATAAATGGCAATTTACATATGTGAGCACCATTTGAGAGAACACCTCAAGACATTTTCATTTCATTGCAAATAAACAAATTAATATCAAACCAGGGTGATAAACAGCAGGAAAAGCAACAAACTTTCCTGTTATTTGTGAAATTTGCAATATAAAATAAAATTAAAAGATTGCATTTGCTAACACATGAATATATTGTTTTTGACAGGGTAAATAATGTATATAATCATAAAAAGAGCAAATTAATAGTTTAGAGCAGGAGTGGGGAACTCCAGTCTTTGAGGGTTGTTGTTTTGCTACACTTAGATGTCTCCCTGGTTCAGTATATTTTAATCAAATATCTGAATCGGTGTAATCAAGTTCTCCAGAATCTTGATAAGGACCTCATTATTTGACTGAGGTGTGTTGAAGCAGAGACGCTTCTAAAAGTAGCAGAATGTCAGCCCTTGAAGCCTGGAGTTGCCTGTCCAGGAAGGCCATAGGACTCTGGTGGTCAGACTGAAGGACTTGTATATGTGTGCAATAAGTTCATGGAAGCTATTTGGTTTGATGAGATTAAAATATTAAGATCCTAGATCTCATCATTCAGATATATGGAAACATCAAAGTGGAAAGGCAATCACTTCCTCAGTATGTTATCAAGCTCTGTTGAGGTCTGCTAATGAGCCATTCGTGTGATTTAGGTACTTGGAGCCAAGAAAACATCTAAAACATTCAGAAAAGTGGTTCTTCAGGTGTTGGAAGAGCCACACTATTTAGGTGGAGGTTTGACCAGCAGTAGCAACAGACAGCAGAGGACTCTGGTCTGTTTGATGAGATAAAGAGATAAAGATGAGACGAGATAAAGAGAAGCATACAGTGAGACCCTTTGAAGACAGGTGAAATGCATGCAGCAGGAATCCTTCGAAGCTGGAGCTTAAAACAGGTCATACCTAAAGGTCCAAGGAACTTGAATGGAGACATCAGCAGACTGTGATAGGAGCCTGCATTGAGGAGTAGTTCTCAAGCTTTACCTATACAGGAACCTTAATTGAAGCAAAATCCTGTGTAGCAATCATGGCAACATCAGCACTGAGGTGTGACACCTAGTCTGAGGCTTAGGGTGTTTTCACACCTGATAATCCGATAGTCTCAGTTCAATTGGGGACCAACGTTGCAATATTTGTTCTATTTTCAGCTGTTGAGGTTCTCTTACACACCGCCCTGTGTCAAGCAAACTGTTGTAGTGCTCTACCAAGAAACACTAAAGGAAATGGCACAAAACTCTGAAGAAGATACTGATGCAACATCCTCCTTCACAAAAGAGATTTTAGAGGTTTTAGGATTTTTCTTTTGTCTTTGGCAAAAGATCACAAGTCAAAAGATCATGTGTGTTTGTCTTTGTTGTATTTAATCAGAATGTCCTGCACTATAGTACGCTTCCTGCTTTGGTCTGCTTGGCATCCACATAAGCATTCAAACCTCACATGAGTTTGCTTTAACTAAAACAAGACCAAGGTTTTTAGGCAGACCGGAGTTTCCTTTTTTGGTTAATTTGAAGTTTGTTTTACGCTTCACCAAACAAAGCAGACTTTCTAGGCAACTAACTAGAATTCGATTATAGTGGACTAAACAGGCTTGGTGTGAATACACCCATAGAGTGGCCCAGGTGCCATTCTATGGGAAACAGACCACAGTTTGTGATCTGTTTGTGAGGTAGCCATAGATCCAGCTGATTGTTGAGGCCTCGTCCTGTGTCTTCTGAATCAAATCAGGCTGAATTGTGTTAAATGCCCTGGAGAAATCAAAGAGCATGATCCTCTCAGAGCTGCCTGCTTTGTCTACATGACAGTTGTCAAAATACCTGATATTCAACAGGTCCCCTCCGCCCCCCTTAATTAAAAGAATTAACTGTAACATAGTACCTCAATGCAGTTAAGGAGTAAGTGTTCAGCTATTTTGGTGAGTGTGTGTGTGTGTTTTGTGACTTCTGCGATTATAAGGTATTTGTTACTGTTTCAAATGATAAACATGCTCTCTAATTGTCAATATGATCATTCTAAAAACAGATTACAATTGACTGTAAGTCATAATTTTGGGAGAACCATTTAACCACATAACAGTCATATTCAATAAATTTGAAATTTTTCCCAGATGAATCTCGTTTGTCAGATTAATACTTTCTTACAATAGTATTTAAGCAACTATTAAACATATGCTCCACTAAGCCCACATTTCTGCTACTGAAATAAACAAACTTTTCAGTAATATTTTAATTTACTTAATTGGCATGTATACCAACAAAAATTAACTCAAAGTTGGGTTTGGTATTAGGGTAACAAAAAATAGCTAATAACTCACTGAACAAAGCATAAAAGTTGGCTAAATTTTAGATGGGCCAGTCGCTTACGCCCAGTTAAGGAACTTTCTGAATGTTTTTTCCCCTCTCAGACTGAGAACATTGCATGAGTCATTTCATAGATGACGCTATTTGAAAAGTCAGGAAAACCAAAACTTCACAGGACTGGATAGCACTGACTTAGAGGTAACATTGCTAAGAGAAGTAGGTGGTGGAGAAAAAGAGGCAACAGGGGAGAGAGGGGAGTGATTGAACTATTTTTGGCTGAAATCAGGGAGTAATTATTTACCTGTAAGAATTGGCAAGAAGGGTCCTGCTGCTGACTGCCCTTAGATTTGACTAGAGCTCTATCTAGGTTTAGGTTACCGGATCCTGCGCTGGTTCGTAGCTGGTTGTGGCTGCTGGTGTTGGTGTAGACCTCTCGGGCCCTGCTCACCGTTAGGCTTGATGACCATGCCCCTTTCTTCTCAACAGGCCCGTCCACAAGACCCAGTGGCAGCAAGGGGCCACTTCCTCCACCGATACAGCCATCGCTCTTATTGCTGTTACCACTAACTGGTATACATGCAGGTGAAGCAGTATATTTCACATCACTGTTGCTCCGAGAGGCTTTGAGTGCAGAGTGGTGGTGAGTGTGGCCATGGCGTGCATGGGTGTGTGCATGCTCGTTAACTGTCCCATAGGGGTCCATGATGAAGTACTGTTGGGACTGCGAGGAGGAGAGATTTGGGAGGGGAGTCTGGGGATACTTGTCGGGGTTGCTGCCAGGGCACTGGCCTGTTGTCATAGGTGAGGGGGAAATAGAGAGGGAGGGTGAGGGTGGAGGTTGGTGATGATGAGGGTGGTAAAGACACAGCTCCCGTTCCAGGTTGTCATCTGAGCTCCAGTATCCAGACCCCGGAGCAGATGCTGAGCCATGAAGCTGGGGATGGTGATGGTGGTGGTAGCTTCGATGTTTGGGCTCTGCTGATCGACAGCGCTCACGGCTCTTGCTGCGCTTCCGGTGGCGCACTGCCCCAGGAGGAGCCGCACCCTCTGGGCTGGCCCTTGAACCACCACCACAGCTACCTCCTCCACCACCACCATACACACTCCCATTAGCTGGCCCTTTAGATGACTGAGTGTGTTGGGGCCCCTCCAATGAATGTGACTTTGTAAAGAGTTTCTGGACTGAGTGGACCAGATGGCGAATTCGCCCAGGACTGTCATTGTTGTCATTGGCTCCTATGCCCCCAGCGTGGGACAACACTCCTCGTTTGTACTGCAGTGTGTGGTAGCCATCTCTGGAAAATATTGGCTGTTGCTCATACGGGTCCGCAAAATTTACTGGTACCCAAGACTGAGATTTACCCCCATACACTCCTCCCCCTCCTCCTCCTCTTCCTCCTCCACCTACATATGGCACCATGGCCATACACTCATCCTTTACCTCAGGATGGTGAGCTGAGGAGGTGGAGTGACACCTCCGTGGGAAGGTTCCATATGGGACAATGCTGTTGCTTTCAGAAGGGTATGGAACACGCTGAGCATTGTAATAGGGCAACTCAGATGGGTGTGGCATAGGAATGGGCAACGGCATATCCATCTGGCCGAACAAATATGGCTTACGGTCAACATGGTGACCCAATGGATCGTATGATGGCTCATAGGAGACCATATGATGGTGACTCCGACTACTGGACAGGCCTTTCATGACAGGGTAAAAATGAATGGAGAGAGGGATGAATGGATGAAAGATGCCAGGCCTGTGATTAGAGAATGGCTGCAGAGGACTGTCCCTGGGAGGAGAGGTGAAGACTCTAAAAAACAAGAAGAAGAAGGAAAATACAGCATCAGTCAATGGTTGTACATTCACAATGTTTGTTTAGTTTCTATTTAAAGAGCCAGTTAATTACAAACAATATTCATCTTTGTGTTGAAAGAAAGTTATATTCGTGTTGTAGATATGATCTTTAAAATCTTGACACTTTGAGCTTTTACCATGCTAAGAACCAGATTTAAGAGGACACACGTTTTTGCAATCAAAATTTTTCAGTTTGACCAAGAGAAATCTCTTGAATTAAGGCATTCTGTAGAAGAGCAGTATATTTGTTATAATTAAAGAATACTAGAAGCTATTTTCACTTTTCAGGCATTTCCTGACATTTCTAAGAATTTGATGAAAGCGAAACCAGTCCAACCCACAAGATTTAGTCTGCAACTCAGACCTAAAGCTTTCCTCTATCAGAACTAAGGAAACTAAGAACAGCTCATATAGAAGACTGGTTTTAGGGTATTTTAAACACACTGAGCTCCTCATTCTGAGCAAAATTACTTTGAAATAATCCAGAACATTGAAGACAGGCTTGAATCAGGTAGGATGACAGGTTAGAATTTGCCAGAAGGTTGCTTGAAAGCTTAGACCGAGCAATGCTCTCCATCACACTTCAGACTTCAGCTACCATGTCAAATCCATTACTTTATGACAATGTAATTAGAATAACATGCAATAAGGAATGCATGCTAGGTGTCAAACTACATCAAGCAACTTTTCAATATAAAAGACAAAATTATCACAATCCCTACTGTCAAGCATAGCCAAAGGTTTAGGATTTTTCTGAAGAACCACCTAAAAGTCAAGCATGAACGTATTCTAAGGGATTCTTGGGTCAAATATGTGGTAATTTGGTGCTCAAATAAAGCTAAATTCAATAGAACAACAAATCATACCAGCAGATATGTTGAAATGTTTGAAAAAGATAAGACTTGAAATGGCCCATAGTCCTGTTATAGACTTAATGGATATACTCTGTTAGGACTCTAAAAGAACTTTGTATTCCTTAAAATAAAAGCTACATTTTCATTCCTTCTTCAGCACTGTGACTCTGCCAAAACTGCAACATCAGCCTTAGCCTCTGTTGTTTCTTTTTTTTTTTTTTTGTAAAGAATTTAACTCATGACAAAATTAAACACAGTACAACAGATCCATGGAAGCAAACAATTTATTTGTGCTATTGTCTATCCAGCAGAACATGTTCACTGTGAGATGGATGTGACCTAACTTCTTTTTTCATTTACACTGCCTCTATTAGCTTAAAGGTTCACTGTAGAATTTTTTCAGCTTATTGTGAACTTTATGCCCCAGATTGTTGTGTTGGCGTGCTGTAGGAAAACATGTCTTCTTAAAGTGAAACTCACCCCAAATCAATGGTTTTAGCTGATAAACTGTTTAAATAGGTTATTTAGAGTTTTGACATTTTAGAGCAATTTTTTTAGTTTAGCTTTATTTCTGCCAAAAACTGTCTCATTACTGGCCTCTTAGGTCAAATTGTTCTTAGGTAGTTGAGGTTGCAGCGGTACAGCTTGGTAACTTCGGGTATACAAGCAAAATGTTCCACCCAGCACCCAACCCTCACTTCTTGCCCCTGCCTGCCCGGTTGTGAGTCAGGAGTTGTTGCAAGCATTGCCATGGAAACTGGGGAGTACTGACCAACAGCTTTACTCAGCATTAGCAAATGTGTGACTTGTGTGAATGGGTCTACTTTGCTCTGACTATTGGTGAAGGTATGATTTTGAAAAGAAGAGTGTGTGAGACTGACTGCACTGTTGCTCGCTCAGGACAGACAGGCTGCAGAGAGTTGTCCCAATAAAAGTATCCAACAAAACAGGAAAAGAGTTGCTAGATTTATCACTAATTGTTGTTTTGAAAAAAAAGTCACTAGAAGGAGTCTGAAAAATCGATAAACATAGTGACAAAGTGGATAACAACAGTACTTTCCATGGTCCTCTCCTTCTCCTCTCCTCACTCCACGCCATCCATTTGCTGGAATTTTTAAAAATTTGCCAGGGGTGGGGTTTAGATTTCAGAGGGGGGTTAGTTAACTTTAAAGAGACAGAGGCCAACATGTCAAATTGAAGAGTAACATTTTTAAGTCATGTTTGATATAAATAGCATTTTCACAACAGAGTGTAACATAGTTCCTTGATTGTGCTTTAAAATTGCATTATGTGCATAATACCGTCTCTTCAAAGTACTTTGTACACTTTATCTGTTTCATTATGAGTGAGTTGGAATTTTGTGGAGTGCTTGTTTTTTGAGCCTGTGACTTCATACCAGGACAGATGCAAGGCCAATAAACCTGACACAATTTGAGTGTTTTTAGATATATTTCTGTAGGATAATATAAATGTATTGTCCCACAGCAGGAAAATTCAGGAGCATCAATTTTATACATCTCTACAAAGTTCATGTCACCCATTCCTACAAATGTGTCTGGACTAAAAATATCATGGTTTGACACAGGCATTCATTTCAAACAATCACTGATGATTGTTTGAAAGTTTGTGAATTTTAAATTATTATTATTTTTTTGTTTCTTTTCGTAAAGCATTTGTTATTTTAATAGGCTCCTCGTTTGTGTAATGCCCTTCTAATTGCCTTGTGCTTGATTGGTGCTACATGTACATGAATAAACATACTTCCCCAGTTGATCTGTGATTGGCACTGGTGTCGGTACAGAAGCCCTGCTACCTGGAAGTATTCAGTCTGACAGGTAGCAGGAACTTGTCACAATTAGCATTTATAGATTGATGCAAAACATTGACTACAATAGTTTTATGCAGCACATTGACATACTTCAGTTTTATACATGAGAAATGACAGCAGGTGGACAACAAAGCAACAAAGAGTGAGTGCATGTGTGTAGTCAAAACTTTTTTCATATATATATATATATATATATATATATATATATATATATATATATATATATATATATATATATATATATATATATACACACACACAAAGATTACTTTTAATAGAGAAAGTTTTTAGACACCAAGTGTGTCAATTGTGTATGCTCCATACAAGACTATCAATGTTTGCCTTGCATGTTGTGGTATGAGTGTGTCCTTTCATATTCCTACTTGGGCCAAGATACAACTGCATAACACATTGTGACAGCACCACTGGTAGAAATGCTTCTAACAACCTCAAGTAACAGCCAGTGTGCTGAAAATACATACACACGCACCCACACATAACTCAACCCTACAAAACACAGTTGATACAGTTTGGAGAGTGGTTCTGTAGATGCTAATGTCATTTCTAATAGTTTTTTAGCAACAACTAGATAATTTCAAAAAAGTTGAATAACAAAAATGCTCTAAGAAAAGTAAAAGAGAAACCACTGTCAAGCAGTGGACGGAAACAAGCTACACAAGATTATATAGGAGTAAAAAAGAGAATGGAGACTGACAGCTGAATCTCCCCACCAGTGTTTTTCCACCACCCCCTTGTGCATTTTCAGAGCCATATGTGCCAGGCATGCTGAGTGGATGCTGTGTGTGTAGGCAGAAGGAGAAATGAAAATAGGGTTGAGATCAAGTTATTTTAGGCTAAATGGAAGCTGTCAAACAAAAGCCTTTGAGTCAGTCTCTGAGGGTGGATACCAGAACTAGATGCAGACAGAATACTCAGTGTGCATCATGGAAGTGTGGATCATGTTCTACATGTGGATCTTGTAGAACATGATCTACAGTGTAAAATTGCATAACTGTTCTGTGTTTTCTATATTTTATATATCTGATCATTTTCTATGTCTTAGCAGGTCCCAAAAACAGAAACAAGAGGGCTTTCAGCCATAGTTGCATGGCTCAAGGTAGTTAAGGACAAACTTAGCTTAGTGTTCCCAACCCTGGTCCTCACCCCCAGCTGATTTCAATTGATGGATGATTAACAGCCATTTGCTTAAGTGCAATCATAAGAATCAGGAGAATAAACCAGGGAAACATCTAAAACATGTAGGGCAGTGTGCCTTGAGGACCAGGGTTGGAAAACACTGACTTAGAGGGATGTTAAGGTTTCCAACTCCACACACACCAAGTTGGGCCCAGGATTCCCTGACTTTCAATGCTCAGAAACAATGTGGAACAGCTCCAATGAGATCTGGGTCTGCTTTCAGTGGAAAAGGCTTGGAACAGTATCCTGAACCTTTTCATGTCCATTTTCCAGACTTTTTAGTTAATTACTTATAAACATTCACAATCAAATTATGGTAAAAATTTTTTACAGCAAAAAGGGTTTCCATCAGGAACCAGTAGAAACCAGAAACTGGGAGGAGGGACACATTCTGATTCTGATTTAACCTCATAAACGCTGTTCTTCCATGGCCAATAGACTGTTGTTCTGACAGTCAAAGAGGGATCAAAAATGTTTACAGATCTATGCCTGTTTTCCTAAATAAAATGTATTTCTAATGGCATATTATCATTTTTAAGTTTGTGTACACACATTTTTGGAAATACGTTGTTCAAAGTTATCTTACATTACCATAATACCCATCATCTGTCAATAAAATTGTGTGCTTAACACCAGTGAAGAAACTTTTAATGGTATGTTATGATGTAGACCTATCAGACCACAAAATGTACATGAATCAATATTGATGCCTTAACTTTGATTCAATGTAAAATCAACACAAGCATACATATAGATCCACATTCAGATGATAGTTGAATCATTATTGATATATTGTCAGTTATGGTTGAAACCCTAAGGTTGATTCAACATATAAGTAACCGATCACTTTCAATATAATTTCAATGTCAAGCTTCAACGTGGATCCAATGTTTCTGCCTAATGTTGCTTCAACGTTGATTCATTCATATTTTGCTGTCTGGGGAAGGTGCTGTGGTCACTGTGAGACATCAAGACATGTTTTGATTTGTTTCATGCTATTGTCACTAAAAATGTTAGAATCACGGTGAAAAACCTAGAAGGACCAAAATACCTGACATATAAATGGTCTGACTTGTA